GGTCTCGCTCTAGCTGGTCTCAAACTGATGAGCTCAAGCAATCCACTTGCCTCTTGGATGACAGGGATGAGCCACCATGCCCAGCCCCTTTTTTGTAGTTGTTGAACAATCTTTGACCTTGTGAACTGTGCAAAGTATGAGGGCTTCATGAATCTGTGTCGTTCTGTGCAGGGGCCATAATCATCTCTGTATTGTTCCCGTTCCCATTTTAGTATATGTGCTGCTGAAGTGAGCACTTTCTTTCCTTTTTGAATACCAGTGACAATAGCTTTAATTTTTCTAATTATACATATACAAATAATATTACTGTAAAATCTTAAGGCAAAAGAATAAAATGCAATGAAAGATGTAAAAAAAAATCACCTCGGATCCTCCCTGTTATGCTGGGTGTGTGTCCTGCCATGAATCTTTCTGTGCATGTATAATTTTATGTGCACATGATCATGGTTATACAGTCTACATGTATCTTTTGTTATGGACATTTTTAGAAACTGTCTTTTTCTTCAGATTTTTCACTTAGTTCTTCCTTTTCCAATCTTCACCATATCCCAACCACCAAGTAATCAATCTTGACAACCTCATCTGTAACTGTCCATAATTTTCTTCATGACTTATAATCATATGCAAGTGTGTCTATGTGTTTGCCAGAAATAGCACTACAGATACTTAATATTCTCCACATTGGAGGTTTCCCTTTCAAAAGCCTAACTTTTCACATATCACCCATCACAATTATTTTCACAGTTAAAATTTCAGTACTTTTTTTTTTTTAATTTCTTTTGAGATTTTTTTTTTAATTTTTATTTTTTGTAGAGACAGAGTCTCACTTTATTGTCCTCAGTAGAGTGCTGTAGCATCACAGCTCATAGCAACCTCCAACTCCTGGGCTTAAGCAATTCTCCTGCCTCAGCCTCCTGAGTAGCTGGGACTACAGGCACCCACCACAACGCCCAGCTATTTTTTTGTTGCAGTTTGGCAGGGGCCAGGTTCAAACCTGCCACCATCGGTATATGGGGCCAGCGCCGTACCCACTGAGCCACAGGCGCCACCCAAATTTCAGTACTTTTGTCACTATTTTCCATAATGTGGAATCCTATCCTTTCAATTCTCTTACCTAAACAATCCATTGTGAAGACTCAAATGATATAAATTTAATGTACTTTTAATTGGCTATACTACATTGCATTATAATATTAACATTTTTTAGCAACTTCTTGCTATAAATGCATAAGAATTTGAATTTATATCCTACCACAAACACCTTTGCCTGTGTGTGCAGGATTTTTGCCCCAAATTCCAAACAATGCCTAAATCATAGTGGATGGTGATAGGCCTGGGTTGCATAAAAGAGGGATGAGGAGAGGAGCTAGAAATGGCATTTGCTTGCCCTGCCTATATATTTTTTCTACTAACTGGCTAAAGAGAAAAAGGAGTCAGATGAAACCACTGAAAAGACAAAGGCTAAGAAGTCCAGTTAGGTAAGGAATGAACAAGTTGGTTGGCAGCAAAGCTAGCCATTGTGAGGAGTTACTTGAGTTGGAGAAGTAGCAGCTGCTTAGTTTTGCAAACACACGTAAATGAAGTTTAGCAAGCAGACCAAGTTTGCCAAAGAGAGAGGGCTTGGCAATCCCATCAGATGGTAACAACTTCTATTTGCATGAAGACTTCAGCTTAGGCTCGGTGCCTGTGGCTCAAGCGGCTAAGGCGCCAGCCACATATACCTGAGCTGGTGGGTTTGAATCCAGCCCGGGCCCGCCAAAAAACAACACTGATGGCTGCAACCAAAAAAAAAAAAAAAAAAAAAAGCCAGGCCTTGTGGTGGATGCCTGTAGTCCCAGCTACCTGGGAGGCTGAGCAGGAGACTGGCTTAAGCCCACGAGTTGGAGGTTGCTGTGAGCTGTGATGCCACAGTACTCTACCCAGGGTGACAGCTTGAGGCTCTGTCTCAAAAAAAAAGACAAACAAAAAAAAAAAACAAAACTTCAGCTTAGGAATTTCCCAGGCAGCAGTCCCTGACATATGGTTCCTAGAACAATTCTTGTTTGTCGTTCTGAGTAGGGATCTAACTTTAGCTACACCTTTTCTAAAAGATTTATTCCTCGTATCTTTAAAAGCAAGTAAACACCATTCCAATAAACAAGGCTCACTTTATTGCACTTGGTAGAGTGCCATGGTATCACACAGCTCACAGCAACCTCCATCTGCTGGGCTTAGGCAATTCACTTGCCTCAGCCTCCCGAGTAGCTGGAACTATATGCGCCCACCACAATGCCCGGCTATTTTTTTTTTTGTTGCAGTTTGGCTGGGGCCAGGTTTGAGCCCGCCACCCTCAGTATATGGGGCTGGTGCCCTGCTCACTGAGCCATAGGTGCCACCCATAAACAGCACTTTTTAATGAAACATACCTCTAGTGTGTCAATCACCTGAAAAACAATTGATTGGATATACGGAATTTCACTTTATAGAAAACTAAATTAACACTATTCTGAAAATCCAGAGATAGATGCAGTCTTATCCCTAGTCCTGAGAAATGAAAAATAGCAGCCCGGTGAGTTTCTCTGTCCCAGGATTTTTCTTTCTTTCTTTTTTTGTTTTTTTGAGACAGAGTTTCACTATGTTGCTCTTGGTAGAGTGCGGTGACATCACAGCTCACAGCAACCTCAAACTCTTGGGCTGAAGCGATTCTCTTGCCTCAGCCTCCCGAGTAGCTGGGACTACAGGCACCT